ACAGTGGAGGGAACACCCCCGGCGGTTCAGGCCAGTGAGAAGCTGTGCTGCTGTAACCAGAGAAACCCTGCAGGGAGCACTGATAACATCTGAGTGCTCAACAATCTTGCTCTGTCATCAGCAAGCTTTCAAGGGGATAGCCATCTTAAGTGCTCCGATAACCCAGTGATGGCGACGGTATAAGTATATGAACAGAACAGAAATCTCTCAGGTAGACTGTAGCAAGGGTGCCTGTGGTTGCAAGACTGTGTGGGTAAGACTTGCAGCTGAAGTGTCCCTACCAGGACTGACATGAAGGGACTTTCACAGGGGAGGGCCTGGTTGAAAAGGGCTTTATCTCACTCAGTAGATCCAACCATTCCTACTTACTGAGCATGGGATCTGGGAAGCGCATAACAAGGACAAACACCTGACAGGCTTGTTTTCCCAGCTTGAGAGAAGTGATCAAAATGATCGAATGACCTTACAGATCATTTGAAACACACGCAGACTAGTGAAACAGTAATATTGACATAAAAAAACAGAGCACAACCCCTCACACTAGGGACGTTAAATATCAAGTCAATGAATAGTCAATTAACCTCATGAATTCTTATTGGTTACTCAACTATTCTATAGTTCCTGGGGGTGGAGCAGCAGCCAGTGCACCCCAGCCTCACTCCGGAGGAGCCCCCTGTCACTTCACACTCTTGCCTCTGTATCAGAGGTTGTCCGCGAAGGGAGCCAGTTTAAAAATCAGCTCCCCTCGCAGATCAGCTGCCTGTCACCCTGTGCTGCTGCCTCTGATACAGAGGCAGCAGCATGAAGTGGCAGCAGTCGCTGTCCAGGTGGGCGGAGGGCGGAGCTGAGCTCCTGGATCCAGCGTGAGCAAGGGCTGAGCCAGGAGCCTGCTAAAAAATTTACTGGCTTTTGCTAATCAGTTAATAGACTACACTATTACATCCCTAACTCGCACTTCAAGCAGATTAAGACAATCTTAGACTCAACCAAGAAGGTTGTTAATGTTTCAAAGCTGTAATCGCAGAGAGTAATTTTAAGACTGCTCCTCCTCATCAGGATTTTTGCATTTTGGTATGTCCTCAAGTCTGGATTTCCCTGCAGACATCATGTGACATGCAGTAGGATGAATGTGGTTAAATATAGTTTACACAGTTTGCTTTTGCAGGTCTTACACGGATTTACTTTAGTTGGAAAATAATAAAGAGGCCATCACAACAACATCCTAGAATATTTGGTGACTGAAAGATAAGGAACAATCAGGTGTACTCTGTGCATTTCAAGAGCTGGCAAGCTGACAATCAGATGTTAAAAATGCACTAAATTTTCAGTCCAGGAACAGTTTGCTGGACTGTGTTCATGGCCTGTTGCCTGTAACAATCTTCCTCAAAGGCGGTGTGGGGTTTTTCAAGCTGATTGGAGGGAGAACTCATACACAGCATTACTGACATATCTTTACAGAGAAAGATTAGCAGCTTTAAAAATGCAAGCTCCCACGTCCTCCAAGAATTTCAAACCAACACGGGAGAGGGTGACCCCAAAGCGGCTGCAGACATTAAACAGCTTAAAATGTTGGGTTGAGAATGTTCTTAGAGTTAAAAGCGGGATATGCTGTCAGGACTGGGAGAAGTCAGAGTGCCAGGCAGTGCCTGGCGTATGCTTGGGCCACCACTTCCAGAATGGGAAGCTCTCGTCCCAAAAATCATCCAAGTTCACTGTAACCGTGGCATGATCAGAGTCATAGGAAAGTCTCTTTCTAGTCCAATGGTGATTTCAAATGAAACCCTCCTCTCCATGAATATCCTCTTGATTCAAAGGGTGTCCCAGGTTTGCCCAGAAGCAGGAGTGGTGGCGTGATGCTCTATCGCTCACCCACACAGCCCCTCTGCAGTGGCCGATGCTGCATGGACACTCACTGCTAGCACAGCCAGCTGCTTTCCCCATTCCGAACACTGCCCCTGCTGGCAGGTCCTTTACATCAGGTTTGGGCAAATGCCCTTTTCATTCTCAAAAGGGTTCCTGTCTTGGCACTGGCACCGACATTTTTCAGTTCGAAAAAGATGAGTTTGGATCCAGGGAAATTGGTTGCTAAAGAAACCAAGTGCTGAATTAACCACAGTAATCCCTGTGCCAGCTTTAACGGCACTCATCCGAACTCTACAGCTTAGCAAAATCTGCCCTGTCTAAAAATATGATCAAACATTGCAAGCAGCTTACTAATCAAATGCACTATTCCAGCATCCAACCCTCTTCAAACCTGGTGTTCCGCAAACTAACAGGCTGCTTCCTGGCTGGCAAAGGAGGGGGCTGGGCAGGAGAGTTTAGCTAAGCCAGAGTAAGAACAGGTCTAACTGCTGCATGCTCAGTGATGTCCTCCACTTAGTTCCAGCCACCCTACTCATTCATGGGCTGGAATCTCTAGCTGGCATGAAGGGGAAAATCCTCGCTGTAATCTCTCACACTCCAATTACATACTGACTGCACATCTCTCCAGCCCTGTACTGCTGTGGAACACAGCCACAAAGTCAATCTTTCGGATGGGTTAGGTTTGCTAATAAGATTCACAAGCCAACTAGTCCGGTTCTTCCCAGAGAAGGTTGGATAGCAGGGCTGTCCACCTTCTCTTTGGGGACACAGGCAGCTGTGGGCTTCCAAGGCCAACAGCAATCTCTAGAATTGGAACCCAAACTTCTCACTCTGCGGGAAGTGCCTTTTTCAACTAGGTGGAGCACAGCATTTAAGAGCAAGGCAAATATTTTTAATCCCAGCATGTCAGGAGTAAGTAGGCAGAACACCACAATACTTAGTTGTACACACAGCTTTCTATGAATATAGCTCAAAGCACTTTACAAAGGAAGGTCCATGTGACCTTCATTTTACAAATGGAGAAACTGAGGCACGGAGAGGGGAAGCAACTTGCTCAGGGTTGCTGGGCAAGACGGGGCAGAGCCAGGCTACAACCCAGGTTCATTCTAGTTACCTAACCACTGGACCACACCACCCTTAGTTATTTCAAGAAGATGCTTTTAAAAAAAGATTCTCATCTGTCAACCTTTAAATCTGCCACAATATATGCAGAAGTCTAGTCTCAAGCATTAAGCAACGTTCATAGCCCCCAACCAGCATAGGCACACCACAAGCATAGATCTAGGACCTTCGTTAAAACAAGACTTGTCAGTCACCGAAAGCCACAATCCCTGACAATCAGTAAACTCTGGTGCAATTCTACTGTATGTCAGGCTGTTCCAATACTTCCCAGGTAACAATCACTTATTTCTACATGTGACAGTGCAAGTGGTA